TGGCTGGAAGCAAAAGAACACAGAATCTGGGAAAGGAGTGCACAGAAATGGTCAGAGGGACTCAAGAGGATCTAGCAGAGCACCACCAATGTCCATTATACTCTCCTAGAAGGAGAACTCATTCCTTCTTATAAGGAAGCATAATATGCACATTGTCGTCTGACTGTTTTTGAAGGAAATGTAGAATTAAAGCAAAGGTGTTCTGACATAAAAATAAGCTGCTGAATCTTGGGCATGGGCCTCTGGAGTGGGATGAAGGTCCAGTGCCAACTGAGACACTCCCCAGCCCAATGTCTCATGCCACCTGGCCACCCATAACCCCTCAAGCCACATCCACAGACCTCTAGAGAGGTCGCAAACAGTGGTTGGGGTGGGGACTGGACTCATACAGGAGCGGTTCCAGGACAAGCCCTCCCATTTTCGGGTTGGGTGATCTTGGGCTTGTTGCTTAACTGACTCTCCTCAGTTCCTCCTTTGAGAGATGGCAGAAACAAACACACTTACCTCACAGGGTCACCGAGAGGTGCATGCTCATGGCTGCCACATGGGTGGTTTGCCCCATCCTTGGTTTAATTCTGGATTTGAGTTGGAGGTCAATGAGAGGCAGACTCTGCTTTTCTGTTTTCTTTCTTTTCTGTTTCTTTTCTAGTTGAAGAAAGTGTCAGCTATAAAAGGTCCACTGCCTCCCCAAATAACACAGCTTCCACATGTTATCTCCAGTCTTTCTTGCAGAACAGTCTGTGAGGAGCAGTCCTTTAAGTAAAGGCTTGCTTCTGTGGATTTCTGAGCTTCACAGAAGGGCAGTGTGCTGTCAACGGAGGGAACTCAGAAATATGCTCAACCAACAATGTGTCAGAGGCGGACTCTGCTGGCTACATAAATCCTTCCGTGAACTCCACCGGGAAAGGGTTAGTGAAGGGAGGTAAATGGCTCAAGCCCAGCATTCCTGCCCCAGGTAGGCCCAAGACCCTGCACTTAGGAGCAGGTGATGGGAGATAGTGTAATTAAAGCGAGCTCTGTACTTCTCCCTAATGCTCTGGCAATCACTTCCTTTCAGACGCTCAAGGCCTTCCTTTCAAATGCTCAGGTGGTTGACCTGAGCTGTCCTGCAAGAAATTTCTGGCCCTTTCATAGCTTCTGAAGGTGCTTTGTTTTTCTGTCAGAGGCTCCTATATTCCTGAACTGTCTTCTGTTTGGTTTGTTGTCTTGGTTGTTTCTCCTCTGAAATGTTTCTGCTTTAGTTTATGTGGCATCAAGAATCTAGAAGATGGCAGGGTATTCATGTTTTGGGTCAGGTTTTCCCATGTACCTTAGGATACGTGTGAGCTAAGTGCCTTGAGTGGTCTGAAAGAAGCACAAAAATCTGTTGCCCATACTGGGAAGAGCCAGGACAGAGCAAGCCGCTCTGGACCTTGGGGAAGCCACTCTGGGTTCTGCCTTTATCTTCGGTCATGATGCCATCCTCACCTTCAACTGAAGGACAGTAGGCAGTTGTCCTCCAGATGGTGGTATAGTGCAGGAAAATAAGAGTACTGAGTGGATAGTCTAAACTGTGGGGTAGAGCCCAGCTCCACCCTTTACCCTCTCTGGGGCTTTTTCCAAGTCCCTCGTTTCCTCCTCAAGGAAAACACTCATTTTCCTCATCTACAACGTGGGGTAACAAAAGCATCCCTGCCAGCCTCACAGGGCTGCTATGGAGACCCCTGTCAAAAATGACAGAAAGCGGTTTGCAACTACTGTGCTATGTCAATGTGCTGACCACTCATCAGACCAGCATCTCCCAGAGTTCTCCTAGGGAATCCCTGTCTTGAGGGATGTTAACAGGTGTTATTTGAAAAAATAAATAATTTTCTACATTAAAAATAGGTGTGGGAAATGCTAGGTTAACCAAGTTTAAACTGGTTCTGCACTGCAGGATTTCTCAGAGATTTTAATGTACTGTGAATCTCCATGAGTGTTTTCCAAACACTGCATGAGAGAATCTTCTTCATGTGGAACCCTGTGGGGCTCCACACAACACCCTTTATTAGAAAGGCTAGATTAGATAACACAACCATCCTTGAGTGGAGGACGTGTCAGATTTGGTCCCAGCTATAATGCTAATGCTTGGATCATAAGAGATATCAAATACATTAGGACAGATTAGTTAGTTTAACCAGTGGGTAGTTAATGAGAAGCTACAATCTGAAAGACCTAAAACTCCTGATACGAAAAAAGCCCAGGAGAAATCCTTGACATGTGTGAAGACTCTGAGCAAGATCTCCCAGAGTTAGCATGTGCCCTTCCCGAGTCCACGCAGGCTCCTGAGTCGTATTTCTCTCAAGAATCGTAAATGGTTGTGTTTATACTCACGTGACTTAACCCTCATCTTAACATTCATTAAAACTTAATCTTTCAATGGGTGAGAAAACGTTGCCCTGACCAGAGCACCCAACTGAAGTGCTCCCATGATCCCTTGCTTCCATGTGGAACACACAGTAGAGTCAGTCCCATGAAGATCTGAGTCACTGCTGGATTCAACACTTCCCCATTAATTTATCCCATACTTCCATTTTCTGCCCCAGAACCATCACCTTTTTAGATCTCTTCATTTTAGCTTTCCTCCACACAGCCATTGCTAGCACTTAGCTTGTTTCATGAGGTAACGAAGTTCTTTTGGTTGTTTAAAACATTTGAGAAGAATTCCGAGTCCACAATGAGTGGTAAAGACTGAGTTAAAAGGCAGTTGACTAGGTTCACTTACTGGATAGAGGGCTCACTCTCATACATAGCCCTCATCCCTGCTACTCACCCTCCTCGTCATGAGGGGAACTCCTGTGTACACTGGGCTTCCATCCTCCTCTTTGCCGGAGGTGGAGTGATTTTGAATTAGTAAAGTTGGAAAGAATAGCTCAGAAGGCTTGGCTCAGCTCTGCCCTTTTTCCTCTTGAAAGAGAGCTGCCTGTGGGTCTTGGTGTTGCCTTTGCTTCAGTAGATAAGTCGTCCAGTTCTATGGTTTAGTTAACAGGCTCATTTTTGGCCCCTCAGTTTCTTAACTTGCTCAGAACTAGGCAGTAAAGGGGATGGGGAGGGAGTGTTTATTTCTTCTCAGATGATACTGAGCACCAGAAAACTAAATAGGCCATAAATGCCCCAGGAGTTAGAGGAGGAGGTGAGTACCAAGTGTCTGCTACATTAAGACATAACTAATCATGGTTAGTGTTGGTTGAGCACTTCCTACAAGCCAGGCACTGTGCAACGCACTTTTCCTGTGGTACCTCACCTAATCCTCACATCAGTGTAGGTGCTATAACCTCCATTTACAGATGAGGAAGCCAAGCACGTTGCTAACTAACTGGAATTGGAGTCCAGTGTTTCTAAGCAGGAAGGGATATCCTCATAGGGAAGCCTGGACCTTGAATGCAGATAGGACTCAGACCAATAGAGGGAAACGTGGACCTTGACCACAGATAGGACTCAGACCAGCAGAGAGAAGAGAAAAGGGAAGGAGGTAAGTGAGCAAACATGAGATGGTGGGACTGCCCGAGGCATGTCTGGGAATCAGTGAGTATCCCAGGTGACTTGGGTGGCAGAAAGATTTAAGGGGGATTTATGTTCCAAGAAATGCAACTGGAAATCCTGGAGTTGGTTCAGGCCTCTGGAATTTTCTAATCCAACCTCTCACCTGTAGAGAAAGTTTTCCTTATTCTTAAATGAAATTTTTATTACAAAAATGACAGTCATTCCATCATTCTTTCATTTGCTTAATATGTATTTACCAAATGCCAATGGTGTGCAGGCATGGGGAGGCGGTGACAAGCAGGGAAGGCCTGGCTCCTGGCTCCAGGGAGCTGCCCTCACAGGGTGAATGCACAGCGTGTAGAAGGCCGCATGGGCTGTGCTTCACCAGCTCCATCAGTGGGCTCCCAGGATGGCCCCCCTTCTGGGAGACCCTGCTGAGAATGTTCTTGTTCACCAGGGTAGAAATCTGCTTCCTTGTAACCTCTCTACCCTGGGTTGCCTCAAAGAACCCATGGGAAAGGCCAACTCAACAATAATGTAGAACAACCAGGGACTTCTTGTCTTCTCTTTTTCAGGCCAGAGGCTTCCAGTTCCTCTAACTCTTCTCTGACAGGGGTTCTGCTGACTCAACTGAGACTGAATGCTGGCTGCCAAGCTCCCTCAAACTGGGGACCCCGTGATGCCCATGAGCCCTCCCAGCAGTCTTTGTCCTTTCTTCCTATCTTCATCATCTGAAGCATATAGCACAGTCCTGCATACATAGCAGATGTTTGAGAAACACTTGGTGAATGTCATTGACTTGTCCACTTAGCCAGTCTTTAAAAGATCACACCATACATGGTCAGAGCTCTTCCCACAAATATTGGGTGAGCACCTGCTCTGTGCTCAGCACCATGCTAGGTCCCCCGGACACATCAGCACATAGAGAAGGTACATGGCTCTGCCCTTTGAAGCTTATGTCGTAGTGATATTCTACCCAGACCTTATGTTTGCTTAGCCCTGTATATTCTATAGAGCCTTTTTACATATTCATCTTAGTTGGTTCCATGGCAACCCTGTGACGTAGTTATTATTATTTCCAGTTTACAGATGAGAAAGCTAAGGTCCAGTAAGATTAAATGATTAACCCAAGGTCATGCAGCAGTGGGTGCCACAACTGAAACTCCTACTCAAGTCTTCTTGGGTTGTCCAAACCTGTGCTACAACTTGCCTCATCAAAGTCTCCAAGGAGCTCTATAGAATAATTAGGTTATCCCCTAGTCATCATTGTTCCTGCACAGGGAAATTTCCATTTCATTTTTCACTCTGCTTCCCCGTGGGTCAAAGCAATGCTTAGTCAAGAGTTATCTCCCCTTTCCAAAAGAATGAGCCATGCCAAAGGAACGCAGAACCCCTGAAATAGCTGCTGAACATCAGCAGTGTTCATCTCAAGGATTTCTCAACTGAGTGTTCAGCGTGTGATCTCAATCATAGAAAAGAAGAACTGCACCAAAGTCAATATCTTTCTGAAAACTTGCAAAACCTGAGAAGCTAGCCTGTTTAAAACAGGAAGCTGTGTAGTTTCCTACCTTACTAATGTCTCTGATCAGATGGTATCTCCGTTCCCTGAGTGGCGAGACCTAAGCTATCACTGGACGCATAAAGGACTTTGCTAAATTAGCAGGTACCTCTTGTCTTCTTTTTGTTCTCATCAGTGCAAAAACTTATTAAATGCAACAGAAGTTGTTTATTTAGAAGATATTTCCAGGGTAGACTGTCAGGTTTCTAGGAAAAAAGAGATGAAGTGAGGGGTCCGGGCAGGTGGAAGCAATACCTTGAGTTGAGGAGGCAGAGGAGAGGGAGGTCCACCACAATTTAGTAGGTAGAACGAGGCCAGTGGGAGAGCATATTGCAAAATATATTCATTTTATTCTTGCTTTCCTCCATTTTCCCTTTCTTTTTCCTACCCGTATGATGATGAGCTTGCCTCTTCCACTCATCCGAGCTTGGCCTTTGATACCTCTTCAGCCAATATGCCCGATTGTGCCCAGGTTGCCTTCTCTACGCTTTCATAAATTCTCAACTATTGAGAATAGGACCACTGCAAAAGGGTTACACTTAGTAGCTTTGTGTTTATTGATATTGACTTGTAAGAAACAGCCAGTGAAAATATAATTTACACACGTGTGTACATACATTTATATATTACATTTGTATACATACGTATATATTTCAAGTCGTCATTGAAACTCCCCTCTCTGTCAGGCTGTTAGGTGAATCAGTTGATCGATTGCTTTGGTGTCTTTTTGTCTGGATCTACAAGGCTGACTGCTAGCTTTCCCTGGACCTGTATTAGAGGGTAGGGATAGAAAGTCTTCCTAATCTTCTGGGAACCTTGGATTGCTTGGGGATGGAAGCTGACTGTTGTTTGAGAAGTGTTTTGAGGCAGGGCGATGGGAATACGGGGTCTTTGGCACATGGAAGCGATAGGAGTTCGAGCACATCTGCAGCTCTTTTCAGAAGGTGGGGATGATTACATTGAATCGTGCAGGCTGAGTTATTTCTTCTGGGGGAAGCATGACTCAATAAGAAAAAAGCAGATTTGCCCAGCAGAATAAAATGGGTAAAGGGCACAAACAGATAATTCACAGAAAAGGAAACAGGAATGACTAATAATTAAGTTAAAAAAAACCCACATCAGTAATTAAAGAAATATTAGTTACAACAATAATGAGATCGCTTTTGCCCATATAATTGGCCAAGTAATTTTTTTCTTTTAGATCTTCTCTGTGTTAATGAATGCTTGCTGAGACTGGCACCATCGCCTACTAGTGCCAAGAGTAAATACATTGTTATGCACTTTCTGGAAGCAATTTGGCAAAATGCTTCAAGAGCCTTAGAAATATGATTACTGGTAGAGATTGTGCTTTGGGAAATCTATAACTAATACACAGGAAATAAAAAAAAATACAGAGAAAGATGTTTGTTGCAGCATTATTTATAAAAGTGCAAATTGGGAACAACTTAATCACACAACAATAAGACAATGATTAAATAACCATGAATATACAATGTGTTGGAGTCACTACAAATTATATTTCCAAATAATTTTTAACTATATGGAACTAGGTGCAGGATATAAAATTTTAAATATCAGGATACAAAATCATATACAAGTGTGATATCAATTATAATAAACATGGTACCTGGAAAAGAGGCAGGAGTTCTCTCTCCAAGGTGCAGGTGGAGGTAGAAGGACCAGGGGCTGGAAGCTGAGCCCTCTGGTCACACTGAACACCCTCAGCCATGTTATTTTGACTGCATAGGCATACTTTCCTTATGAAAACATATTCTTCATGATCTCTTTCAACTGAATAACGTCAGCTTATATACAATTACTAAAAATCAGCTACACTTGAAACACCTGCTATTGAAATATAAAGAGCAAATCTAATCTTTGGACAAGGAAGTTGGTAAAAATATCCAAAATCACTTGGCAGGTGGATGAAACCAAGTCACTTAAAATGAATTGACCACACCCCAGGAATGGAGTGTAACTTTTGCTCTAGTAACTAATAATAATGATTAGCAGCTGTGGAAGTCCATGTGCTGCCCTAACCCACAAATGCTGGAATATGTCCGCAGCTGGAAAGAAGATTGTATTTATTCATGATTTCAGCCTTGGGAGGTTCTTGTGTATTTCCAGGGAGGGAGCTTACTGGCCCATGAGGCAGCCCATTCTGTTCTTGCACAACTTGGTTCTCAGCAAGTTCTTCCCCATGTGTGACTGAATGTAGTTTCCTCCAGTGCTGTCCAATTTCTGTTCTCTTGAGAGTATACTCCCTCTTCCACAGGAAAAGCTATCACATCATAGACTTTTCTACCTCAAAGGGACCTAAAACGTTGCCTAATCCAATCCTTTAATAAAAAAGATTTAAAGAACCAAAGATGTACAAATAATGACCAAAAAAAAAGGAACTAAAATAAATCTGAAGACTTTCATTTTTCATACAAAACATTCATAGTTCTGCCCACTACAGCAGATGTTTTTGGACCTTTATCGTCCTAGCCTGTTCTGTACTCCAGGCTGATACTAACCCTCTTAAAATGTGGTACCTGAGACAGAACATAATATAGTCTGAACAGTGAAAAACAGAGTTATAATTATTCTGCTCCATCCTCCTATCCATCTGAGAAGAGTGTATGAAGCAGCTGTGACTCGTCAGGCAGGACACTGGGCACTGGTTCTGCACTGTCTAACGTGGTGACTACTTCCCACTTGCAACTGAGGATTTCTTCGTTCTACCCCTACAATTCCCCTTCTCTTCTCAACTAAGCTTAAGGAGGTTGGAGAGTATGTAGCTCAGAGACAGAAAACAGCTTCATAAAATTTAGGAGGGACTTCGTGTCATCTAGTCCAGGAGTTGTGAACCGAGGCTGCACAGGGGAATCACTGGGGGAGATGTAAGAATCACCAAGGACTGGGTCCCGCCTCCAGAGATTCTGATTTAGTTGTTCAGGGGAGCGGCCTGGCTTTGGGAATTCAAAAGCTCTCCAATGAGTTCCATGTGCCGCCAGGCTGAGAACCATCGGTCCAGTCAACCTTCCTCTCACTGTGGAGATCCCCTCCCGCAATGTCCCTGACAGGCAGCCACCCAGCCTCTGCTTGGATTCCTCATCACACCTTGCTCAGGGCGTCACAAGGCACCCATTTAATTTTCGATAATCCTGCTCAAGCTCTTTCTTATGTTGTGGTTGAATTTGCCTCTTGGAACTCCCTCCTGCTGGTTCTGGGGGATGCCACTGGGAGTCAAACATGATTCTGATTCTCATCTACGCAGCCAGTATCTTGCTCTCTCTCCTCCCCCAAGTATCTCTTGTCCGGGGTGGATACCTCAGCCTCCTTCAAAGTATCTTTAATGGGTGAGGTTTCCTCTCGACTGTGTTTCACTTGGGCAATGTTCACATTAAATGTCTTGCCTGCGACCTAGCGCAGTGCTTTGGATATAGTCTCAGACGCTTTAAAATCCCATCACATGCTAATCTGTAATTCTAGTTGACCATAAATTAGCATGCGATGGAGTTTTTAAAAAAACTTCTTGCATGTAAACTTAGATTAGATTAATAGAAGTGTTGTATGCAGATTATGGGAAGTGATCATTTCACAGCATCCTAAATTGGCCAAAATTAGGTGCCCAGGAGAACTCTCCCTGATTCCTGATTGTTTTTAACTTGCCTGGAATTCAATCATCTACCTGTCTATCTATCTACTACCTACCTGTCATCTTTGTGAAAGATAATCCAATACCTGATGTCTCTCCGTTGGACATGTCAGTAAGTAAGTGGATTAATATAATCCTGGGTTCCCGTTAGATTATTTAATTTGGTTGCAATCCAAACTCATTTGTAGAAATTCAAACTCCTCATTTACTATAACTAAAGATTCTAATGAAGGCTGAAATGTCTTGTTAAAACAAATTTTTGGATACCAATCCTTTGGTAGGTTTTTCTATATAACTGTGGGTAGTAGGCTACAGACGGGTTGTTTGTGGAAAGATGAGAATATCTCTTTAGGCAGAAGAGACACTTCCTCCTCTAAAGTCGCATTATACTATCTTAGACAGGATCTAAAAAATTTTTGGAAAGTCCTGAAAACTTGCAAAATAAGGAAGGTCAATGGGTGGAGGGAGGGGAAGAATAACTAACATATATTTGCCTGGCTCAGTGTTCTAGATGTTCTCACATGTGTTAGTTCATGTGGTCCTCATGTCACTCCCTCCTCCTTGCAACACTTTCCTCGCTTGGTGTCTGGAGCACCAGCTCTCCTGGCTTTTCTCCCACCACACTGTCCACTCCTTCTCGGTCTCTCTTGCTGTGTCCTCCTTGTTGCTCTGACCTCTGATTTTTGGCATACCTGAGGACACAGTCCTCACTAGCTATACTTTCTTCTCAGGTGCTCTTATCCAACGTCATGACTTTAAATACTATCTATGTGATGACAAGTGTCAACTTTATATCATCAGCCAAGAGTTCTCCCCGGGAACTTATATCCAACTGCCTGCTGGTCATCTCCACTTGGATGGCATAGGGGCCTCTCAGACTTGACCTGCCCCAAACCAGGCTTATTTTTCCCCAGCCTTCTTCGTCTCAGCTCATGGCAACTCCATCCTTCCAGTTGTTCAAAACTCTTGGAGTCACCCTTGACTATTTCTCACCTACATCCTCTCTCTCAACAAATTCTGTGGTGCTGCTTCTGCATTTATACAGGATCCATCCACTTCTCACCCTTTCTACTCCTACTACCATGTCCAGTCCAGTGTCATATCTTGCCTGGATTATCATATTAGCTTTTTTACTTGTCCCTTGTTTCCAGCTTTGCTTCCATAGTCTATTCTCCACATAGCAGCCAGAACAATCCTTATAAAACATAAGTTGAATCATGTCATGCTTTTAATGGAAACACTCCAATGGGCCCCAATGCATTCAGAGAAAAGCTCAAGTTCTTCAGTGGCTGCATGGCTACACTGAACCCCTGCCCACGCCTACCCCATATGTCTGAAAACTTCTCCTAATACCCCTCACTCATGTTCTGGCTACTTTGGCCTTCTTGCTCTTCTAAGAACATGTCTGGGCACTCTCCCATCTTAGGATATTTGCACTTGCTGTTTCTCTGCCTGGAACTCT